TACAAAGAACTCAAGAAATTAGACTCCAGACAATCAAATAACCCTATTAAAAATGGGGTACAGAGCTCAACAGCGAATTTTCAACTAAGGAATATTGAATGGCCACGAAGCACGTAAAGAAATGTTTAACATCTTTAGTCATCAGGGAAACGCAAATCAAAACAACCTTGAAATTCCACCACACACTAGTCAGAATGGCTAAGGTTAAAATCTCAGATGACAGCAGATGCTGGGGAGGATGCGGAGAAAGAGGAACACTCCTCCATTGTGGTGGGATTGTAACCTTGTACAACCACTCTAGAAATCAGTATGGTGGTTCCTCAGAAAATTGAACATAATATTACCTGCGGAACCAGCGATACCACTCCTGGGCATGTACTCAGCAGATGATCCAACATATTACAAGGACACATGCTACACTATGTTCATAGCAGCCTTATTTATAATAGCCAGAAGCTGGGAAAAAACCCAGATGTCCTTCAATAGATGAATGGTTACAGAAAGTGTGGTACCTTTACACAATGGTGTATTATTCATCTATTAAAAACAATGAATTTATGAAAATTTTAGGCCAATGGATAGAATTATAAAATATCATCCTGAGTGAGGCAAAGAAAAAGAAAGACCAAAGTATGGGTGCTTCGGTCCTTCTTAAAAGGAGTAACAAAATATTCACAGGTGCAAATATGAGACAATATGTGGGGCAGAAACTGGAGGAGAGGCCATCCACAGACTGTCCCACCTGGATATTCCTCCCAGAAGCAATCACCATATGCAAACATTGTTGTGGATGTCCAGAAGTGCATGCTGACAGGAGCCTGATATATACAGAGTTAGATGCTCACAGCTAACCATCAAGCTGATCACAGGGTTCCCAGTGGAAGAGTTAGAGAGAAGACTGAAGGAGTTGAACGGACTTGCAGCCCCATGGGGTGAGGGACAATACCAACCAACCAGAGCTCCCTGGGTCTAAACAGCTAGTCTGGGGACACACATGGAATGACCCATGTCTCTAGCTGTATTTGTAGAGGAGGATGGATTTGTTGGGCATCAGTGGAAGAGAAGGGCCTTGATCCCTTGAAGGCTGGATCCCCCAGTGAGAGAGAATTTGAGGGAGGGGAGGTGGGAGTGAGTAGATGAGTGGGGGCACACCCTCATAGAAATAGGATGAGGAAGGATGGGTTAAGTGATTTCTGTGTGTGGGGAATGGGGAAAGAGGATAACATCTAAAATGTTGATAAATAAACTACTAATAATAAAAAAATGAAAAGAAAACCAACCAAACAAACCAAAACAAAAAGCAAAAACAGATAATGGAACTGGTGGCTATGGCAGTCGAACATTTGAGACTTTTTAGCAGCAATGTAACAGTACCCAAATTATGGAGATTCCTTATAATTGTCAAGGACATGTTAGCATCTGTGTTAAGGCTCTTTTAATTGTCAAGTTAAAAATACTTTTGTTTCTTCTACAGTATTTAATGTAAGTTGCACTGATTGTATACCTTCTAGTTTTGTTTTTGTTTTGAAATCTGGCATGTCAGTTTTGGAGGTGTATCAACCAGCTTTTGTTTTAGTGCTCTGAGTATCACAGAATCTTGGTATTCTAAAAATAGCTTGTAAGTAATGGAAGAAATGAGTCAGTCTTTAAGCAGAAGCAAGAGAGTAGTGGGCTTGATTGTTGCTGGTATAACAGCTTTAATTACATTAATTGCTAGCACCACTGCTTCTTCAATTACTGTAAAATAAGAAGACAGCTATTTTTGTTAATCATTTAGCAAAAAATGTTACTAATGTGTTGAATATACAAAATGATTTAGATAAGCATTTTGAGTAATAAATTGATTCTGTTCATCCTATTCAAATTCCTGGAAGGAGGTTCAGAATTTAAGGGTAAGGAGCCATCTTGAGTGTCATGCCAAATACCATTGGATCCCTGTTAGTTCTAAAATTTACAGTGGTAATCAGTATAATTAGAAAAGAGTTTAAAGACACTTGCAGTGTATTTGGCATAATTCTTACACCTCTCTGGATGTTCTAATGATACATAGTGAGCTTGTAAATTTCAAAAATGCTGCTCTTCTCAGATACTGCAGATAAAATTAACCATGGCCTGAGGTCAGTATTTCTATTTTCGTCAAGCTTCAAAAATGGCGTATATAGCTTGATCATGCTAGCCCTTTTTGTCCTGGGGATACTTTTATTACTGACTATTGTGATAAAACTTTTCTTTAACAATATTAACATGTTGGCCGCCAAAGTACATGGCTTGAACCTGAAAATGGACCCTCAGAAAGAGTTATTAAATTAACAGGCTGGCAAGCCAAGATTTTGCACAGAGCTTTATCAATCTAAGACAGAAATGCATTCCTTTTGATAATGCATACTCCATGGAGGGTAATAAAGGCATTCTTGTCAGAACAACCCAAGACAGGGTCAGTCTTGTTTATTAAATAAAAAGAGGGAGAGGCAGAGAGCCTTTGGGGCTGCTTGTCAAGAAACTGACATGGGTCAAGGACAAGGAAATGGGCTTCTTGGCAGGAATATGACATTGGCCAAGGACAAGGAAGTAGGCTTCAGGCAGGAATCTGACATTAGGCTAGAACAAAAAAGTAATTTCAGGCAGGAATCTAAATCTTAGTCTAGAACAAAAGTAATCTCAGGAAAGAATCTAAATCTCAGGCTAGAACAAAGAAATAATTTCAGACAGAAATCTAAATTTTAGTCTAGAACAAGAAACTAGGCTTCAGACATGAAAATGACCTTTGGCTAGGACAAGGAAGTAGGCTCAGACACTTTGGTCATCCTGATAAGTCCTTAGAATCAGTGATCATAGGAATAATTGGGTTTAATGGCTTACTTTTTCTTTGAATATTTGTGTTTATTGTCTTGCTGTTCCTTGGCTATTTGGATCTATTGTATTTCTTGATCCTCACCCTAGAACTGACCTTAATACATACATGTAATTAAGATGGTATAAAAGCAAAAGGAGGAGGGAGGATAGGATAGGGGTTCTAGGGAGGGGAAATGGGGAAAGAGGATGGCATCTGTATTGTAAATAAATAAAATATCCAATAAAAACAAACCAAGCCAAACCAACCAACCAAACAACAACAAAAGATCATGATGTGTTATAGTGAGAGATTAAGGTCTCTGTGTGTATGCCCTAGAAAGAAAGGGGAGAAGAAGTCAAAGAAAGATAGAGAGATGGGGGTCAGTATATACATTTATGATTACAAATAGGAATGAATGTCAATGATCCACATGGTCATTGCATAATAAAACCATGTCCCAAAGTGTAGCAAAGAGATGACTGTTGCGATGCTATACTTTCCAATGTCTTAGTATCCTAGGGACCAATTCTCTAAATCATGTGTTTTGGTTTCTCCTCAGACTTTTCTCTCAATAAATCCAAGCATGAGATGGGAAATCCCACATGAATGTTGACTTCATTTTCACAATCCATGATTCCTCAATCGATTATTACTTCTCCGAACTTTGGTTATTCCTTTCATGATGCAAGTACAGCTTCCCGTCTAGGATTCTCTTCTATCTTCTGCTGTAACATCCAGCAGATTCTCTTTCCTTATTTACGTTTCACTTGACTTGTACCCGAGGAAATGATAGAAACCACTTGAGGGAACTGATGTCTTCCCCAGGGCTGATAATGTTTTGTTCTTGTTTTACTTTACTGTTTTGTTGTAATGTTGTGGATATTTTTAAAGTGTATGTTTTTGGTTATTAGTGTCCCATATAATAGACAGAATCAAATAATGGTTTGTTTGCATTGTCCAAAAAACTAATACTTTTGTTTCCTTTCCTTGAAAAACTGTGATATTTGATATTTCAGACTATTAAAAATCCACCACAAGTACCCTAATCAAATTTTATATGTATTTCACTCTTTTTTAGTTTTAATAATTTTCAATACTTACAGTAGTCTTACCTTTATGACCATTGGATTTGGGGAGAAATAAAGTTGAAATATATGGATTTGAATTATTTTATTAATACCGACATGTATCCTTAAATTGCAGTTTTTGGTGACATTGCATGAAACACACTTCAAAGGACACAGATAATATTGCAGTTCACAGTAGGTCCCTATAACCTATCTATAATCTATCTATTTGTATATTTATTATGTCATCTATCTGTCCTCTATCTACCTGTCACCATCTATCTATTATCTATTTACCTATTTTCTACTTATCTATCATCTATCTCTATTTTTGTGAACATGTGAAGATCACTTTTAAAAAAAGTCCCATTAAATTAAGTTGGATAAATTCAACCAAAATATTTAAAAGCAATGAAGGTGGATTTTTTTCTTACCTCAGATAAGTAATAGAAACAAAAATAGTATAAATAAGAACCACATACAAGATTCCTAGATATTTGATTTTAATATATTTATATTATAGCATTCCTCAATGCATCCAAACCATTGTCAATGACAAATAAATACAGCTTACAATTGGCTTTTACTAGACTTTTATAATATTCCAAAGGGCCTTCAATAGGTCACTTAATTTTAAATTAATGTATGAGGTTTTAATTTTAAAATATATTACTTTTAAACCAACAGATGTTGAAACTAAGGGACAAAAAAAATAATTACTTGTTTCTTTGAAGTCACAAAATTAGTGTGCAGTACTATTTAAGAATAAACTTTGACACATGTAGATATGATTATTCTATGCATTATATTTTACAGTCTGTGTTTGTTACTAATGCTCATATACATTAACAATTTCATACAAAATTCGTGTTTACAAAGCATGAGCTACCTACACATTCATACTTGCTTTGTATATTTCACCCCTTATTGTAATCTAGATGAATATTTTTCTATCTGATTTAAATGTTTAAACAGAATAAATACAGTTAGATCTGCTATAAAGACATGAAGATTATCAGTATACCAATGAATGAGCTATATGCTAATTTTATGGTTTGATATATTGGAGTAAAATTGAGAGACAGGCACCTACGAGCAAGTCAGCTTGCAGATGTAGTTAGCATCATCTGAGAGCAGAGAAGCTTCTTAATTGCCATCTTCATGTCCTTATTTCTCAGACTATAGATGATAGGGTTGAAAAAGGGAGCAAGCACTGCAAACATTAGTGCAATAGCTGTGTCTAAAATTGGTGGAAAAGTAGCTGAAAAACGCAGGTACATGAGAGAGACACTGCCATAGAACATCAGGAAGACACCAAGATGGGCAGCACAAGTAGAGAAAGCCTTCCGACGGCCTTCACCAGAGGGAATCCTCAGTATCACAGTGATGATTCTGATGTAAGAGATGGCAATAACCAAGACAGAGAAGATGATGGCCACGGCATGAACAACATCCTCAACCAGAATCATGGAGGTGTCCGTACAGGCCAAATGCAACACAGGTTCAAAGTCACAGAAGATCTGATGAATTTGGTTGGGGCCACAGAAGGGCAAGGTAGAAATCCATGCTATCTCTGGAAGCAACACAAGAAAGCCAAAGATGCAGGAGCCCGCAGAGAGCTGAGCACAGAGCCGGGGAGTCATGATAGTTGGGTACCGAAGAGGGTTACAGATAGCAACATACCTGTCAATAGCCATTGCAGTCAGCAAAATACCCTCTGAATTTCCAAGTGAATGGAAGAAATACATCTGTAGCAGGCAGCCAATCATAGAGATGGTCCTCTGCTTACTGATGAGATTAGAGAGCATTTTGGGAATAGTTGCAGTGGTATACCAGATCTCCAGAAATGAGAAAATACTGATGAAATTGTACATGGGGTTGTGAAGACGGGTATCCATCCTAACTGCAAGAAACACAATGAGATTCCCCATAACAATGAATATGTAAATGAATAACAAAGGAATGAAGAAGAGGAAACTGGCATCTTCAAACTGGGGAAATCCAGAGAACAGGAATTCTGTTACTGAAGTGGTTTTGTTAATTCTCATTATAGTCTCAGCCAAGTTTATCCTCATGGGTGGAAACACACAGCTCAATTCGTAGATGAAATGTAAAAATTCAGACATATTGGTCATATAAGCATCAAAAGGCAAACAAGTTTTAGGAAAATCATGTGTTTCTCTTTATCCTTGGATTAATAAACAGACATCTATTTAGAACCAATAATGTCCCTAAGATATCTATGCACTGGTTGTTTTCAGGAGTGAAGAAATGAGACTATCTTCATACACTTATTCCCTAATGAAGAAAACAAATGAAAAATGGAGTGTGGGTGTAGCTCTTTGGTACAGCATTTCTCTAACATGCACATAACTCTGGATTCAATCCACAGCACCAAAAACCTCATAAATATGAAATTAATACATGAAAAATATCAATTTTGTTGTGCAATGGCAGTGCATACCTTAATCCCAGCACTCAGAAGGCAGAACCAGGCAGATGTCTGAGATCAAGGCCAGTCTGGTCTACAGAGCAAGTTCCAGAACAGTCAGGGCTACACAGAAAAACCTGTCTTAAACAAAAGCAACAACACAACAGCAAAGACATCCCCCAGAAAACAAAAACAAACGTAAAGTTTATAAGCTACATTAAGTAAAATAAAGTAGAATAATTAAGTAAAGGACATTTCCTGAAAGCTCTTCAAAGATTAAAGTATGTGATTCTCTTATTGTTTATATAGCCAATGTGAAGTTGCATTTGGTTTATGCTGAATATTTCAGGCTCTCAGAGTTTTGCTTACATCTTCTAATAAAAGTTACTCTATGTGTTGCCATAGAAATGGATTTGGTTTTAAGGTACAATATGAGTATGAAGTATAGTTAAGGAACTCTTTCTAGAGGGATAAAAATCAAGCCAGCAGAAACCACTGAGCCCAGAAAGAAGTCTTAGGTGAGAAATAGAGCAGATTTCAATCTGGATCCTAAAGTTTCAGTCTATGGGAGACTACCAAAGTCTCCTTATGTAGACCTCATATCTTGAAAAAGATCATGCACGGGTAAGATTTTCAAGGCCAAAAGTGGGGTTCTAGTACGATTTTTCCTGACAGGTATCTTGAGAGTATCATATAACATTCAGCTGTGCTTTCAGGAAGCAATGCCAGAAATTCACAAGGTGCATCAGGAATGCTATCTAAACAGTTCATCTGCTGCCCTACCTGAAAATGTCAAAGAGATAGAACTGGGAGGAAATCTTTAAATGAACCAAGGCAGTGTCTCTTACACATTTGCCTTGAAAGTGTCTTGACCATCAAACTAGTCCTTCCATAGCTAGAAGGCCACCCTACTCCACCCAATCTGCATAAAGCAAACTATGCTCTATGAGAACTTCTGGAAGTTCTCTGTGATCTATATAGTGACTATTAACTTTCATTGTTAATATGATTGGATTTAGAATTATCCTGAAACACACCTCTGGTTGTGTTTATGAGGGCATTTCTAGAAATGTTTAACTGAAGAGGGAAGACTGGACTTGAATGTGGATGACATCATCTCACGGTTTGGGGTACATGAAATGACTAAAAGGAGAAGATGGGCTGAGTTTTCGTTTCTCTGTGCTTCCTGATTGCAGATACAATGTAGCTGGACACTCCACACTTCTTCACCCATGACTTCCACCATGATAGATTGTGCCCTCAAACTATAAGCTAAACACTTCTTTCCCTAAATAAATGAACTTACAACTAGGAACACTTCTTTATGCTATATGTACATTTTCTTCCATTAAGAAATCAAGTAAGTCTTACTTAATCATCAGTTTTAAAAATTATTCCAAAATTTTTTGAAACTTCATATACTATTGCACAACAAATTTTGAACATCAAAACAAGAAAAGAATAGGCAAAGCCTAGATGAACCCAGTAAAACACATTTAGCATAATTGGATATTTTCTGGAAATCTCACTATTGAGAAAGAATTTATGTGAACAATGTTATTAAGAACTGATTTCGGAGACTGAGTATAAGTACAGATGTCTGAAAATTCAACGGAGGTGTGTAGCATTGGGGAATGGAGAACTGGGAGTAGCTACTAGATTGTCCCAGTTGCCAGGGAAGCAAGAGGTTCTCAGGACCCATCTGGAATGACATTAGTTGAAATACCCAACAAACAGAAGATATAACCAGTAGTTAGGTACTGCCCTAAGTTGAGGGATGGGGCTACGCAGCTATCTCAAAAATATTAATCCAGAATTGCTCCTGTCTAAAGGAAATGCAGGGAGAAAGAGTGGAGCAGAGGTTAAAGTAAAGGCCACTCAGAGACTGCCCCATCTAGGGATCCATCCATCTGCAGACATCAAACCCAGACACTATTGTTGATGCCAAGGAGAGCTTGCTGACAGGAGCCTGATATAGCTGCCCCCAGAGAGGCTCTGCCAGCACCTAATCAATAAATATGTGGATGCTCACAGCCAACCGTCAGACTAAGCATGGGGACCCGAGCTTTCACAGGACCAAGGATTTCCTCTCCCAACTATAGCTGACAAGGCCATCCTCCCTTACATATACAGCTGGAGCTGTGGGTCCCTCCCTATGTGCGTACAGGCTGGTGGTTTAGACCCTGCGAGCTCTGGTTGGTTGGTATTGTTGCTCTCCCCATGGGGCTACAAACCCCTTCAGATCCTTCAGTCTTCTCTCTAACTCCTACACTGAGAGCCCAATGATCACTTCAATGGTTAGCTGTGAGCATCCGCCTCTGTATATGTCAGGCTCTGCAGACCTCTAAGGAGACAGCTAGATCAGGCTCCTGTCAGCATGCACTTTCTGGCATCAACATCAGTGTCTGTCTTTGGTGATTGCACTTGAGATGAATACCCTGGTAGAGCAGTCTCAGGATGGTTCCTCCTTCAGTTTCTGTCCCACGCCTTGTCTCCATATTTGCTCCCATGAGTATTTTGTTATTCCTTCTAAGAAGGACCGAAGTACCCATACTTTGGTCTTCCTTTTTCATGAGCTTCATGTGATCTGTGAGCTATATCTTGGATGTTGCAAGCTTTTAGGCTATATCCACTTATCAGTGAGTGCATACCATGTGTGTTCTTTTGTGATTGGGTTACCTCACTCAGGGTAATATTTTCTAGTTCCATTTGCCTAAGAAGTTCATGAATTCATTGTTTTTAATAGCTGAGCAATACTCCACTGTGTAAATGTACCACACTTTCTGTATCCATTCCTCTGTTGAAGGACATCTGGGTGCTTTCCAGCTTCTGGCTATTATAATTAAGGCTGCTATGAACACCTATTGTCACTTGATATTTGACAAAGGAGCTAAAACAGTCGAGTGACAAAAGGACAGCATTTTCAACAAATGGTGCTGGTCCAACTGGAGGTCAGCATGTAGAAGAATGCAAATTGATTCATTCTTATCTTCTTGTACAAAGTTCAAGTCCAAGTGGATAAAGGACCTCCACATAAAACCAGATACACTGAAACTAATAGAAGAGAAGCTGAGGAAGAACCTCGAACACATGGGCACAGGGGAAAAGTTCCTGAACAGAACACCAGTGGCTTATGCTCTAAGATCAAGAATTGACAAATGGGACCTCATAAAATTGCAAAGCTTTTGTAAAGCAAAGGACACTATCAATAGCACAAAATGGCAACCAACAGATTGCGAAAAGATCTTTACCAATACTACATCTGATATTGGGCTAATATCCAATATATTCAAAGAACTCAAGAAATTAGACTCCAGACAATCAAATAACTCTATTAAAACTTGGTGTACAGACCTAAACAAAGAATTCTCAACTGAAGAAACTGGAATGACTGAGAAGCACCTAAAGAAATGTTCAACATCCTTAGTCATCAGGGAAATACAAATCAAAACAACCCTGAGATTCTACCTCATACCAGTCAGAATGGCTAAGATCAAAAACTCAGGTGATAGTAGATGCTGGCGAGGATATGGAGAAAGAGGAAAACTCCTTTATTGTTGGTGGGATTGCAAGCTGATACAACCACTCTGGAAATCAGTCTGGTGGTCCCTCAGAAAATTGGACATAACATTATCTAAGGACCGAGCTATACCACTCCTGGACATATACCCAGAAGATGCTCCAACATTTAATAAGGACACATGCTCCACTACGTTCATACTTAAGAGTTTTTAAGAAAGTTTATCAAGAGCGTATTTAATGAACCAGTTTTGAACATCATTATTTTAAATATACATTTTGAGTTGAAACCTGATGCCATAAATTGAATTAGTGAATTATACTTATTCCAAACTTACTTCCATGAAAGAGAAGTGAAGCTGAGGACTCAGTTAAAAGATTTTACTGTATTACAAGTTGATTTTGCAAGAGAATTAACAGTTTATCAATATTCAAAGAGGAAGAACATTAATCTAATAATTCCAAATGGATATAGTTAAAAACTTTATTTTGATTTTTTGTTCTATTTTTCTTTTGTCTGTTTTGTAGAAAATAAAAGCTCAAGATTGGGAAAAACATATCAACAATTGCATCAGTAGTCAATTAAAATCTCAAAATTGTATTATTATACAATGACTGTTATATAAATTTTGTCAAATTTTTGATAATACTAAATCTGAGAGGAGCATGGAATAACCAATCTAATACACTGCTGGTGGGACTGTAAAATACTCCAGACACTATAAAAGCAGCTTCTTCTTTTTTAAAAAAATAATTTATTTTTTCTCAAATCGTATTTCATTCACACAGGGGTTATAAACACAGAAAGGCAGGATGTGGGGAGGGGAATGACACTGGAGTGTGGGTGTTCAGGGGGAATACAGATATCTTCAGTACCGGGTATCGGCTGGGTGAAGGTTCAGGGGACAAGTCACTATGACTCTGCCTATGACTCTCTTGTCCTTATCTAAGTTGGTATTGTCTGCCAAGGCTACCTATTTACAAGGTCTGTGACTACTCAGGCTTGTAAATTTCCACAAAAACTGCCTGTTTACAGTAGCTTATAGCCAACTGTTTCAATGTTTTTCCACTGAGACCCAAGACTTGGTGTTAGCATACATGTATGACTGGCCTATTGCTGATTTTAGGCCTATGGCTGATTTTAGGCCTTCAGTGTGTAAGCAGGGCTGCCCCTGACATCTCCTCCCTTCTCTAAGTATAGAAGGGCTGTGGCAATTCTAATCTTGAGAAGGCAGGGATAGAGGCCTGACCTCCAGTATTTGAAGGGGACCTTGTAATGGCTCCGGTCCCCCTGTCGTTGTCCAGTGAGGCATGAGGGCCATACCCATCCCAATGTCTTTTTCCTGGAGAGGGGATACTTTTGACATCAACCCCTATGCAGTCAGGCTTGTCCCTCAGGGAACCCAGAGAAATATTTTTATCTTTTATTTATATTCCCTTGTAGTGCTTAGCCTCGCAGCCTAAGCAAGAATTCAGATCTCCAGTCAGTGGGGGCTCTGGGTGGCCCCTCTCTGTAAAAGCAGCTTCTTATAACATTAAACATATCTTGGTTATTGATCCAGTATTTACCCAAGAAAAATGATAATTTATGCTTACTTCCAAGTTTACCCTAACATAGTTTAAATAACCGTTCTTATGAAACTTTAAATAATCATTTAAATGGCAGATGATTGGCAACTATATAAGCTGATACATACATATAATGAGTTATTCAACAAAGAAAATGAATGGATAGTTGGTACTTACACCAGCATGAATGAAGGTCAGATTCAGAGAAAGAAATCAAAGGCTGAATGTTGCTTACTTCTGTTTTATATGACATTTTGGAGAAGGTGAAAACACTATTTCAGAAGAATAAGCTTACAGGGTACAGTAAGATGGGGTTTTAGGCTTAAAGAACACTTAGGGAATTAGAGGAAAAGTTGCCAACAGTGAATTGTCCTCCATTTTGATTCTCCATGTTGCACTTACTTTACCTATATCACTGGATAAATTTCACATCTGCTATGACCCCCCTGTCCCTCAACTTCCATTAAATAAAAACAAAGAATGTTGGCTTTCTTCATTTTCTCCCTCTTGTTTCTATGACTTCATTGAATGACTGAGGACTTTGTAGTCAATATTGTCAGTTATAGCTGACAACTTCTCAGCTGAGGTCCTGGCAATTTGGGGCAGCTAGCATGATAAGAATGAGATATGATGCCAGTAACAGTGTTTGAAAGCATACATCTCTTCTAGTGTACCACCAAGAAGCACACGATTGTATGTTGCAAATTGTAACCATCTTATTGTTTTGAAGAGTCATAGGGTCACTCTTGGAATTCCTAGTGGGTCTTGGTGTAAGCACATTCTGCAAAAACACTTCTCTAATCATGCTATTGTATCTGTGAAAGTTGTAACAGAAGCAACATTCTTGAAGGATGGATGCATATTGTTCATATTAATACTTTTTTCTGAGTGAAATCTCTGATGAGTTCACCTACAGATTAAATAACAAAAAGCAAAGGTGCTAAAAACCAGATCATTCCATCAGGAAGTTGACAGATTCCAGACGTCCTGGATGAAATAGTCTAGCCACGTGCTTTGCCTAGTTTACGAGTCCTTGTGTTTACCCAACGAAAATATTTGAGTGAATGCTGACCTTTTGCTCTTAAAACCCACAAGTGTTTCTCTTCCCCTGGCACTTTTTACGTGTTTGAATATGGTTAGAGGATCCTACCGGCATACATCCAGATACCTCAGTGTTCAAAAACAAATTACATTGAGTGGTAAGTCAACATTGTTTCGTCCCTAAGGTGGCCTGGAAATACTAAGTCAAAGTGAAATATTAAACAGAGAAAGACAGGCCTTGCTCTACAGTCCAGGATGAACTGGAATTCACTATGTAGCTTAGGCTGGTCTACAACTCATAGTAATACTCCTGCTTCAGCCACCTGAGGCCTGACTCAAATGGGCATCCTGAAATTGTACTTCCTAAGGCGTTTTCATAAATGAACCTTATTATCACTGACATCAAAAGGAAGAGAAAACACACAATGTCCCTTGTTCCCTAGTCAACCCCAGTTCCTTGCACTTGCCTGATGAGTGACTCTCATTGTTCTCTGTAATCCTCCACTGTGGTGATTCCTGTTATAAAGCTCATTACTGGTATCAATGCACCATCTGCATACACCTCTCTGACCCAGTCCCTCGGAGTTGCTGAAGTCTCAGCCATATTAGTGAACCACATGAAACAGCTGTAAACCCGGTTAGTTGCCGGCCTCAACTGACATTGTGATCACTCATGAGACTATTAACAAGCCCAGGGATGACATATTTAAATTCTGTTATTGGGGTAAGACAATTAGGTAGAAATCAGCTCTGCACCCTACTAAGCTTTGCACTCATACAGATGCTCAGAAGAGAGTGAGGTCTCAATACTGACAAAGGAAGGATGCATGTGACATTTAAACATGGAGACAAGATCAGCCTGAGCTGAAGGGCAAGCCACTCGGTGACTGACCACATGCTGATCTACATATAAGGGTTGCAATCATGAGAAGTTGTCAACGCAGCGGGAAATTATGTAGTTTGTCCTTGGATTCTAATTTCATTTAGAAAACTCTGACAATATCATAACAGAGGGAAATAAGATAGCAGTAAAAAATTAATTATTCTGATATGCCACATAAACAATGTGATATCACCACTGATTTCTGTTCTATGTATGTTTTTCTTCATGAAGACAAACATTCTTTAATATTATTCAGTTAATGGAAGGAATGCTAGCTAAGTGACTCTCCCCCTCTACTAGCTTGGAGGTTTATCTTCATGACAATGGTCCACCTAAATCCCAGACAGATACAAATTCTTCTCTTACCTCCACTCTGAACAAAGAGTTCCCTTCTTTTCCCTGGACTTACTCAGCTTAAATCTCTAGTTCATGAAGAAAGACTGTTGTTCCTATTTCTAAAGCCTTCTCAACAAGATTTATCTACAGCAGTATTTCCCCCTAGTAATTATGGGAATGAACTTGATTTCCCTATGGTTTTAATTAATGATATAGATACTTTGA